TTTATTATGTATTTATTTTTAAATCAGGGTTCCATAAACATAGGAATCTAACCGCTACTAAGCAGTTAATCTAATAAAAACACTTTTAGGGATTTTTTGTTAATCCATACAAATAAAATATGAATATAAATTAAATTTGTTTATTAGCAAGTAGAGTCTACAAAAAGTAACTATCTCAAATGAGTTTTATTTATAAATTTCTATGGTATGGATTATTGGACAGTTTTGAATAATCTAAAATAAAAAAAAATTACAAGTAAAAGGAATTGATTTGTAATTTGTATAACGCGATATAATTGAATTAACTATCAATGTTAGAGAGATTTATATGCCTTACACAATTAGGAGAATTCAAGGAAAATTCAAAATATCTATTTGTAGAAAATTATCGTTACGCCGTGATGAGAAAGGTGTTTCATTAAGCGAGTTAAGGTATCATTAACTCGCTTAATGATAAATTAAATGTGTTCAATTTTGACAGCATTTCACCGAAATATTGGCAAAATGACAAATTTAATTAGATATTTTGATTTATAATTTTTATGGAATAATTTACCTAATTTTAGGGTTCTTGGATTGAAATGATTTCTACACTATTACAGAAATTTTAAGTAAACGTTATAATAAAGTTTTTATTATGTTAAAAAATGATGTGTTTTCAAAGTTAATTATTTTTGCCGAAAGCTACGCTTCTTATGACGACAAAGAATCCGAATATTCAAGAACCCTTGGTCTTGTCTTTTCTTTGTTATTCGAATCCTTCTAATGATGTGTTTTCATTTATGCTATATTATTATTTTATTGTCATAATTTCCGGTTTTCATTATTATTATTTTGTTATAATTTTTCTATTATTATTTTGTTATAATTTTTCTATTATAATTTTGTTATAATTTTTCTATTATTATTTTTATTATTATTATTTTTATTTTTATTTTTATTATTTTTATTATTATTATTTTTATTAATTTTATTATTATTATTTTTATTATTATTATTATATTTTTATTACTAAAATGTTTTTATTTTATTAAAATATTATCTTCTTAATATATTATTATTATTATTGTATTATTATTTTATTAAAATATTATTATTATTATTTTATTATTATTTATATTTTATTAATAATATTATTATTTTACTGTAGTAGTATTTATATTAGTTTATTGCTTTAACATTATTATTATTATTTTTAATAGTTTCGTTGTATTATTATTATTTTATTATTACTGGTTTATTATCATAATTTTATTAATTTCATTTTATTTTCATTGCTTCAATATTACCATATTATATTATCATTCTGTTGTCTACTCGATGTTGTGTTAATACTTGCTTTGTTTTTATTATTTTTACTAACAAGAAATGCATATTTAGAAATATATTTGTGGATTTATTTTAATTAAAATAAAGTTTGTTGTTAAATAAAACCATTCATAATATTAACATTGTCCATAAGAATACGGACACAAATATGTATCTTCTATCCATTGACATTTTATTTTTTTATAAGTTTCAGCAAATTTATTCCAAGTATCAATACTATTACGGTTGACTGTCATCAATCAGTTTGTGCCGTTGGAAATCATCAGGTGTTTCCATTTAAATAAATGATGAACCCTTAACGGAGCTATCGATTGATTTGACAGTAGAAATATTGTTTGTATCACTCCACTCTTAGCTCTTACAGTTTGTATAATTTATTAGCAGATAATGATAATAAAAACTTTGAATTCAATATATTCAATTTTATGGGTTATCTTAATATGAAAATACATTCACTTTTATATACGTTGGAAGAATAAGAAATAAATCATACGAAACATAGTTAAATATAATTAAATTGATAATGTCACAGAAGCTTATAGTAATTTAGCTGAATTATAATTAATGTTATACCACATAGTAGTATGAATATAAAATTATCAAATGTATTTAATATTGGATCAATTCATAAGCTTTTTATAGTTTGTAATTGCACAATTATTTATTTATTTTTACTGAATGGTTGGAATTTTGTTTTACTTTTTACCTAGATATATTCTAGTACAAATATACTTTAATTTAAACATTGTTTATTTAAAAAATTTACAATATAATTATTGCTGTCACTTACTATTTATTATTTGATTTGGTAACTTAATTATAAATAATTATTATTAGTTAAAGTGTAACGTAATCACATTTTTACAAATATATTTGAAGATATTTGTAAAAAATTATTACGTCACAGTTTTAGTATATAATAATTATTTATAATTAATTAAAAGTTCAATTATAATAAATATATTGAACTAGTTTTTAAAAATATATATATATTTTTAAATAATTAAAATAAATATGAAGTGGGAAATACTTATGACGTATCTACTGACTATAAGTATCTATGTTAGTAGCTTTGCATTTAAGTTGAGCTTTTGTTAAGGCAAAGACAGCTTTTAGACAACTGATTGCAATGCTTTTAGATACATTTTAGATACAATAGCGGTAGCGGTATAATCCGTAACATTATTTACGTAAGTCATTAATGCTTTGGTATATACTATAGTTTGCAGTACAAATAGTATTTTGGGAAGTTCATTTTAGTTAAGGTCGAATTCGCCTTTATTTTTGATCTGTTGTTAGGATACTCCTTGGAGTGTCTTTTTTTATGAATATTTACAAAAGCAGTGAAGTTCTTAATAATTGTGTATAATTTAAGAGTCTATAAGATAACATAATGGTCTCTGAAATTTATTTAATTTTAAGTTTTGAAAGTAAATATACTTAAAAGATTTCAGTATAGTATTAATAATCAATAACATTGATAATCGATAATAATAATAATAATTAATAATATTAATAATTATTAATATTAATAATTAATAATATTAATAGTTAATAATATTAATAATCAATAATATTAATAAAAATAAATTAGTTTAGCCTAACCTAAACTTTTTGTTTCACTTAATAAATTCTAATGATAATTTTTTTTCGAGACTATCATTAAATTATGGCATATAAAACCTTTTTTTTTTCAAACTTATGTGCCAAGTCTATAATAGGTCATGGAATTTAAAATCAACATGATTTTTGATTTGCTTGGGTGTTTTTTATACAGTCCAGAAAAATACTCTGAATACTAGATTTTAGGTGCAAGCATTTACTCATTCGAAAAATATAAAGTTTTGGGTAAAAATTTTTCTACAAATTTGCATATCCATTTGTAGACAGTATTTAATTGTAATTAAGATAAAATTTATGTATTTATAATTCTTAATATCTGGCAATACTGGTTTATGACTTTTAAATTAGTCAAAATATAAGTGTGTAAAAAACCAAAAGCTAATGATAATAGATAGGTGAAAATTGTTCTCTAAATTAAGTATCTATAATTTTTATTCTAGTTTATGGGCCATTTCGGTTATATTATACAAAAACAATCAATAGGTTTTTATTTCACAGGCTTGTAGTACGAACTGTTTTGTTTAGCTTATTAGCTGAAAACCTTGCATAGAAAGTAAATGTCTTACTTTTAAAAACATTATCGAATGATTGTATTATAATGCTTGTCACATGATAACTTGGTGAAAGTTCAGATTGTTACCAATAAATGATGGCTTATATATGAATATTAGTTTATAAATAAACTAATACTAGAGACTCTCCACACACTGAAAAACATTGACCGAATATTAACTTGTTATTATTACAATAGACATAATTTTATTGTATATTTTATTTTTAATTATTTAGAATTAAATTTATAAACAGATTACTGTTCCAGTATACATAAACACCTCACGATATGTTTTCTTAATTAGTTGCAATATTACTGCGAAATACCAGCGACATTTATTTAAAAATAATAAATATTTATTTATAATATTGGTTAAGTAAACTCGTAACTATTCCAATCAAGTATTATTTCCAGACATAATAGTTTAGACATACATAGATTAGGAACTCCAAAAAGGAGTTAATTCTTATAGTGGTACTATGTACCAAAAGAAAGTTATACATATAAATCGGCAAATTCATTTTTCGGTTTCTTTTTTTTTTTTTGCTCTCGGGTCTTTAATAAAATTTTGTGAGAATGAGGTGAGAACCACTTCTTATCAAAAAGTACGTAAGTAAATATTAAAAATATTATATATATTTTTTAATTTTTATTATTTCTTTTAGAATTATATATTCAATACACAGAAATGATCAATTACTGAAGGATTACTGACTTCATAGACATTAAATAATCGTTCACACAATTTTCCAAAGCAATTATAACATACATCCAAAATTTCATCCAGCATATAAATTGCCCTATTAAATTGAATTCATAACAATTATAAAGCTTTTTATTTTACTTATGCATGCAGTCAGCGCACAACTTAGCTCATATACATACGTACTTAAAGTAATCAAATAACCAGTTTATATCACGAAAAATTTTTAAAAATAATTTAATTAGAAAATAAAAAAGTGCAAGCTAACTGCAGTAAAAACACCGACAATAAAATGGAAAACAAAATTCAGTAGAAAACTGTTACTTCAACGTTTTCAAATTTAAAAATAATAGGAATTTAAAATGAAATAGTGCTAGATAACTGCACTAAAAACATAGAATTACAATGCAATTTAGAGAAAAAAAATTCTATTTCAACGTTTTTAATGTGTTTATCAATAGAATACAAAAAAAGAAAAGCAACTTAGAATTAAAATGAATATCTGTCGAACATACTTTGAGGAGATATATCTGATGTTTTTTTTTTTGAATTTCATATTAACACAGTGCTCGTTTTATGACACATATTGGCGTAAATGTGATATAAGTACATACATATATATACCCACATTGAATGAATTTCGAGTGTTGGAGAATTTTTATTATATCGGCGTTTAATTGCAATTACTTTATGCTGACAATTAATTAAAATTTGAAAATATATTCTTGAACGTAACATTTAAAAACTAAAATTTAATAAAATATTTTTTTTTTTGTTTTTATTTTCAGCTTTACAAACATTAATGAAAATCACAGCTGGCACTAAGAAGTGCAATGAACTTCAAAAAAAGGAAAAAGTTACGGATACCAAAAAGTTTTATAACAACAATAAAATATAGAACAAAAATAAAATTAAAATAAATTTGAAAAAATTAGAGCTTTAAACCCTTCACCGACTATCCCAGATAGTCGATATAGTTAACAGACAAACATAGACCTTAATATATATAGCCTATAAATTAGTATATACATCTGATGAAAAAGGACTTATCGCAACGCAATTGATTAAATTACACACACACACACACAGAAAAAAAAAGATTAATCAAGAATATTTAGAAGAAACTAAACTTTTTTCAAAAAATAAAAAAATAAAATATATAAAAAGATTTCTGTCATGTTCGAACGTCGCCCTCTTTTCGTACTAATACTAGGGCTTAATGTGTGTGCTTTAATATGGCATATATCAGTTCAGGAACCAACTTTGATGCACAGTGAAGTAATTGGTAGCGGATATTATGTAAACGATGTATCATTAGAAGACGTGCAAAGATATGCAACAGATAAGGCGCAGTATGAGATATATCAGAAGGAAAAGCAGCAACATCAACAGCAACAAGAGTTTCTAAAACAAAAACAAGAAATTTTGCATAATATTGAAAAGTTGTACGACAAAGAAAAATATCAGGAAAACCATAATAATCCTGATATTTCAGGCACAAAAGCTGCACTCCCCAGTGTAGTAACTAGAAAGGGACACTTTTATAAAAGAAAATATAAAAACAAAAACAAGAGAAATGCAACTAGTCTTAATATAAGTCGTAACAATAAGAGATATAGTAGTAGAAATATTTATTTGTATAACAAAAAAAAAAATAACAAAGATAATAGCGACTACAACAGCAACAAAAAGACTTTAGATTTAGGAACTGAATTAAAAAATGCAACTACAATGGCCACACCTCTAGTCTATGTGGCGACACTAAAAAATAGTCCCACCAAAGCTACCGCTGCTGCAATATTACTACCAGAAAATGATTTAGTGCAGTTAATAGATTTACAGAATTTCTCATATCTCATAACACAACCAGCCTGTAATGCAAATGTTGAAGCACTTATACTCATACACTCTGCTCCGTTGAACTATGAAAAACGTGCTGTAATACGAGAGACATGGGCCAGTGTTGCTAAAACTCACTACACACCGGTACGTATAATCTTTCTGCTTGGCGCTGTTGAAGATCATGCATTGCAAATAGATTTGGAAATGGAAAGTGCCAGACATGGTGACATAGTACAGGGTACGTTTGTTGATAATTATCGCAATATGACTTACAAACATGTCATGGCCTTTAAATGGTTTCTGTATAACTGTGCCCAGGCGCAAATACTCATTAAAGTCGATGATGATGTGTATGTGAATACACCATTGTTACTCCGTTACATACAAGATTCAAAACAGAATTTATCAACTGAAGATGTCAATAAATTTATGAATACTAAAAGAAACATCAACGACACTAGTGCTGCCAATAGCAAAAGTGATACCAATGAAAAATTATTTAACGCTGCTGAAGAACTTTTTCATCAACCAAAAAATTTGCTTTTCTGCGAGCGATACACTGGTGCAAAGGTTAAACGAACGTTTCGTTCAAAATGGCGTGTTAGTTATAAAGATTATGCCAACCGTTATTATCCTCCATATTGTCCCGGCTATGCTATTATTTACTCACGTGATGTTGCATATCGCTTGTACACAATTGCCCAGCAGAGCAAGTATTTTTGGATTGATGACGTCCATATAACTGGCATTCTATCGCAAAAAGCGAATATAACTATAACTACATTAAAACGTTATGTACTATACGCCAATAAGACTGATTTCAGTGAAGCAGAATATATATTTTCCTGGCATAACATTTCAACAGAGCAAGTGCGAGAATTGTGGCGTTTACATGTTAAACTAATGGATAAGATTATATCAAAATCAAATTACTCAAAACCAACAACAACGAGAACATCTTCGGCTCTGGTCTTGAACAAAACTAGTGAAGTAGACACTGATACATTTTATTATTATGGAGATTTTAGATAGCAAAATAATTATAAAAAAAATCTTTACATGTAAATATTATTTATTTATTTAATGCTTTTATTTATTTAATAAATATAAATACAAATATAAATATGTATTCATATATATAAATATAAATAATAGTATAAATAGTATATGTTTATATTTAATAAATATATATTTTTGTTTTAAGTTTTTTTTTTAATTTTTAATTTTTGTTATTATTTATATATATAAATCTGAGATACTTTAAGTTTATTTTTTTTAATGTTATGAATATTATTATTGCTTATAATCAATATATACATTTGTTTTGCTATTATATAGTTCCTAGACTTAGAAGTAACAAGAAAAACTATTAGTACATATATTCTTATTTTGGAAAAATAGAATAACAATTTTTAAGAATATTATTGTTAAGTATATACAGAAGCTTTTGCTCTCCACTGATCCAATATATTAAGGTATTTATAATGTATTTGGATATTATTTCATCGACTTGTTGTTACAGCTAAATAGGTATCCATTATTCGTGGGTCTCGGTGTTGGAATTCTCTTCTTTATTTAGGTATTTTAGGTATTTTTAGGTATATTATTTCATCGACTTGTTGTTCCAGCTAAATAGGTATCCATTATTCGTGGGTCTCGGTGTTGGAATTCTCTTCTTTTTTTAGGTATTTTAGGTATTTTAGGTATATTATTTCATCGACTTGTTGTTACAGCTAAATAGGTATCCATTATTCGTCGTTCTCGGTGTTGGAATTCTCTTCTTTTTTTAGGTATTTTAGGTATTTTTAGGTATATTATTTCATCGACTTGTTGTTCCAGCTAAATAGATATCCATTATTCGTGGGTCTCGGTGTTGAAATTCTCATCTTTTTTTAGGTATTGGTTGATAATCCGGTTTTCGCGTTCCATTAACAGCATTTAAAGTCAATGCGCTGTCGTTAGTTTCTTGTTTTATGGGCTGGATTTGCTCTATAAGAATTCCTGCAGCTGCTTCAGCACTAGCCGATATATCATTTATATTTGTAACTTGAGTATCTATTTTTACACTTTGTTTTGATGCATTGTAACGACCAGTTTTGCTAGTTCTTTTGCTGCGGTAAACTCACCGGTTTGTATTGGGTCGTGACAATAAATTTTTACGAAATAAGGGCACTGTGTTTAAATATTAATTTTTAAATGTTTATTTATTAGTTGAATTTCTTAAGTCTAACAATGTTGTATATTATGATTTTGTACCACTTCTACTTGGCGGAGTAAAATATATATTATATAAATATAATAAAATATATAATATACAATAATAATATATATATTCACGCTTATAAAGAAAGAAAAAGAACATAAACGTATTCACGCCTATGAGGAAATGAACATTAACGTATTCACGCCTATGAGAGAAGGGACATAAACGTGTTCACATCTATGAGGAAAGGAACATAAACGTATTCACGCCTATGAGATTTAGTCGGAAGTACATAAACGTATTCACGCTTATGTGGAATTTGGTTGGAAGTATATATAAACGTGAGGTTTGGTTGGGAAATTTATAAATATATATAATTTGTATATAAATATTTATATAAGTTAATATATAAAAAAATGAAGAAATTGTAGACGCGGTTTTCTTGATACTTAGCTGCTTTGAGGTGTCTACGATGATTGCCTAAAGTTCTCCTGCGTGCTTCTGTTGACTTGGGGTGTTGATCACTAAGTGCCTTTCCTGAACAAATGCGTTGTCTTATATACGCATAAATAAATTATTCATAATTTGGTGTAATATGGTTGGATTGGTGTAATATGTAGGGTGGAATTTTGGATAGAGAAAATTCTATCCTTACAGCATTAGTATTCGTTGCCTCTGTTTCCTCTGTTACTGATGAAACAATATATTGACTTTTTCTTTTTAGTTCTATGACATTGTTAAATTTAATGCGATAAACCTGTTTACAGTATTGTAGCACATCTCGCATATTAGGCAGTTCGTGCGGAATTCTTTATATCTTTTTCTGATGAATTCCACATACCGATCATTTGAAATTGTGAAACCTTTTCCCAAAAATTCCTTTCTGCACAAATAATACTCCTTTGGTCTGTTCTCCATCCTTTTCTGATCTCCATGATGAATCGATCCAGAATAAAAGCCGATAAGTTCTCTCCAAACTTACATGTTAAAGCTAATTTTTTTACTCTTGCATAGCACTCTGATACCGTTTCTATTTCTGACTGCACTGCACTGTGAAGGTTTTTACGCTCTCTAAAAATTATAGTCGGTGGCGTATACTGTGTTTTTAAGGTTGCACACAACTCTTTATACGTTTTCGATATAGGTGATGCTGGATTGCATAAGTTATGCAATAGTTCATATTTAGCTGATCTGATATTTTTCAATAAGGAAGCTGTTTTTATGTTCTCTTCCGTGCAATTAATCACGGCAAAATGAATTTCCAATCTCTCATTCCATACAGTCCATTGCTCTTTTTGAGGCGAAAATAGCAAAACAGTTTTGCTGGGATATATTTGGCGCGCTCAGCTTTTATTTATATTTATTATGTTGTGTATTGAGTCATTGTATTTAAAGACTAACTTTATTCAAATTTAAATTCTTAAGACTAGGTTACAACTTATATCAAAGCACAGGAGAGCGAAAGCTTCTGTATATACTTAACACGCTCCCCCTGAATTTGTTTTGTTTTTTTTTTTACTTACATTTAATAAAAATGAATATAATATATAAAGTTTCCTTAATTTTACTTAATACATATTTTCATACATATGGATTTTTATGTGTATTTGCATATAAGGTAATAATAAGGTTATTTTCAATTTTTATTTTTTTTTGTTTAGAATTGGGTCTAGTTTCCCTTATGCATATATTTTGACTACTATTTATTTTTTAATTTTTGTTTACATTCTCATAAGATAGTACATTTTCATTATTATTGATATTCATTTCATTGTTAATACATAATTCATTTTCACTTTCAGATTTGTTATTTCTTTGCTTTTGAATAATTCTATCCTTAACAAGAGGAGGTTTTTAAGATCAAATCGGGTTCTTATTGATCTTCCCAGGAAAATTTGTGCTGGGGTTTCATCTGTTGTGCAATGCTTAGTATTACGATAATCCATTAAAAATCGGTTTAAAGATATTCCAAAGTTTTCATTATTTTTACTATTTAATGTGACAGAGAATTTTTTTTAAACTTTTAATAAAATTTTCTGCTTGGCCATTAGTTGATAGATGACCAGGAGCAGTCAAAATGTAATTAATTTTGTTGTTATTAAACTCTTCGGCGACAAATTGTCTGCCATTATCACTAACTAAGGTTCCGACAATACCACAACGTGAAAAAATTTCTCTCAACTTAGTGATTACAAAATTAGATGTGATATCCTTTGTTTTAAAAACTTCGACTTTTTTTGAATAAGAGTCTATTATGACAAAAAGATAAAAGTTTTTAATTGTGTGTGGACCCGCAAAGTCAATATGAATTCTTTGCCAAACAGTACTCATAATACCTTCCATGGTATTAATTGGCTTTTTTCCAGAATTGGCAATAGTTCTTGGCAAGAAAGACATGATATAATTAAATTTTCTATGTCCCTATCGAGTTTTGGCCACCATACAAAGAATTTTGCTAGTGATTTGGTCTTGACTATGTCTAAGTGAGATTCATGTAGTGATTGTAAAATGAGTGTTCTAATCTTCAATGAAATTATAACTCGATACCCTCAGAGTAAGCAATCTCGGTCTACTTTTAATTCTGTATCTTTGCTCGTAAAAGCTGTAAATTTTTCATCTCTTAAAGTTTTAATTGTTCCTTTTCTTACAGAATCACATACTTTAGAAATTATTGGATCGCGTTAGGTTCCGCGAGCTATGTCTCTAAAGTCAACGCTTAAAATATTTTCACTTTTAATATAATTATGAATGAGCTTCCCTCATCCTGATCGCAATGTATTGCGTGAGGTATACGCAATAAATTGTCGGCATCATTAGTGTGTCCCTTCACATATTCAATGTTATAACTAAAGCCAGATAGTATGAATGCCCATCGTTGCATGCGTCCAGCTCACATGATTGGTAAACCTTTATTCTCACCAAAAAATGATATTAAAGGTTTGTGGTCTGTTTTTAAAATAAAATTGGTTCCAATCAAATATTCTTTGAGTTTGCTTACACAAAATATATCCAATTCCAATGCTTCTTTCTCTAGTGTGCTGTAATTTTGCTCAGCTTTAGATAAAGCTCTGGACACGAATGCAGTTGGTTTTACTTTGTCTTCAGAAAACTTATGTGATAATATGCCAGCTACAGCTTTATTTGATGCATCTGTTGTAAGGACAATTGGCAATTTAGAAGTGAAGTGTACTAACACTTTATCCGAAGTTATATCAGATCAGTTATATCCGAAGTTATATTGTTCAGACCAAACAAATTTTACATTTTTTTTTAGTAAATGGTACCAAGGAATCATTTTATCTGCAAATTTGTCAATGAATTGCGAATAATAATTTACCATACCGATTAGTGCTCTTAACTCAGACACATTTTTGGGAATTGGTGCTTTCAAAATAGATTCCGTGCTTTCTTTAGTTTTAGTAAGTCCATATTTTTCAATTGTGAAACCCAGGTACGAAATTTTAGTTTTGCAGAATTCACATTTGGAGAAATTCAATTTTTTTATTTTATTTATAATTTTTATATTTATTCAAAACAGATTTAATAATTAATTATACTAATATAAATACTATTACAGTATTTATTGAATATTGAATATTATTTATTTATCGAATTCAAACTTAAATGATTTACAAGTCTTAATAATTCTGATCGAAATGCAAATAATTCAAATCAAAATTAATAAAATAATACTTATTCTGGGTAATATATTTATGATTAAGTTATTGTTTTTTTATTGTTTATTTGTTTTATCAAGTTTATTAGCAAAAAATATCATAATGGCATTGATAACCATTTCAATCCAAAAATATACTAATCGTGTGTGTGCAGATACGAGTTTGTAGTTC